AGTTTTATCCAGTTATATTGTGATTAAGAAAAATAAATAATAATTAACTTAAAAATAAGTTTTAAGTAAACTTGCCTCGTGACATGCATTTTCGAAATCCTTATACGTCAATTGTAAATAAAAAAAAATTTAACTTTTTTACGATCCTCTCAAAGCATAAAAATAACAAGCACGAGGGGAGCTTAGATACTCCTCCTTTTTTTTTTTTTTATTGCTTTATCATCCCATTAAGGGCCATAGTGGCCTTCCACAAAGGAGGAGGTTATTTAACCATTTATACTCCGGTACGGGTGGTTAGTCCATCGCCAGAGAAAGGAATGGCGACGCCAATTGCCAAACTGATCTCCCGTTCGTTTAATAAAGCCGCCAGTGACCGAGTTTCGAACCAGAGGTAGTGCGCGTCAAACATTGCCATGTTACCAACTCGGCCACACCGTCCCTCTCCTCCTACATATTAAAATCATTTTAGATATTATATTAACATAAAGAAAAATTAAGGGATTAGGTTTCAAATTTTCATTATAAATATTTTTTTATACAATTAACTAGAAATAAAAATATTGGAATGGGAGTTTATGTTTGCATCCCACCTGCTCCACATAAATAATCACCGCCTCTGCGCAACACCATTAATTTGCGTTGACCTGCTAAAACAATAGGTTATACACTCTAAACATCTTTTTTGACACATATACAATAAGACTTTAAATATAATAATATTTTACAAAGTTGTGAACTTAATAAATGTCTAAAGCAGTTGAATAAAAATTGCATGAAGTATTACTAAAATGTTTTTAATAGAAACATTTTAAATATTTTATTCAAATAACTTTACGGAATGATTAATTTATCATGGACTAGTAAATTACTCGCAAAATAATAATCTTGAAAATATTTTTTATTTCTCGATTTACAAATGGTAAAATACATTTCAGATATATTTATTATATTTTATAAGAATAAAAAATTTAATTTTTTAAATGACAACATATATAACTAACTTATTGAATAGATAAATGATTCAATTAAAAAAATGATTGGTCGATAATAAAATTTGAACTAGTATTTCGGAACTTATTAACATTTTTGTTCAACGGGTGGAAAAGTGCAACTGAAAAATGTCTTAAAAATAAGCATACTTATTTACTATTGTACTAGAAAAATAAATTGAAAATTACACAACAAATTGGCCTCGAGCTCATTTGTTATTTTTAATTCAATGGGTAGATATTTGAGAAAATCAATACTGAAGTCAATCGAGCCAAGTAATAAGAGCGACAAATTCAAATAAATGTATAGTACAGTGACGTATTGTAAGAGAAAACAGAACACGGCAGCCAAATGGTAAAATAGTAGGCTTCTATTTCACACCATAGTCACTCAGTTGCGTTCTCTTGTAGTCTAAGGTGTAACAATAAGTTCATAAGGAAATTGGCAACGTTGTATAAAAAAAAGGGACAGATAATTAAAAATATTCATAACGCTATCATTTTCATGTTGCCAGTTTGCATATGAACTTCTCTTTCATTTGAATTTTTCGTTCACATACCTGGCTCGATTGATATCAATATTAATTTTCTTTAATGATTTGTCCATAGTATTAAAAATAATAAATGACTTAATCGCCGTTTTTAAAATAAATTTTCTATTTGCTGAAAACTGTTGCTTGAATTTGTAACTTAAATAAACTAAAATTATTGCTATTAATAGACATTTAGAACTGTCATACTTTTCTATTTGTTATTTATCGTCCATTTTGCTTCAGTTTGTTGTTCATTATGTCGGCTTAGTCAATTTTTGGAACATTTTATTCAAGCACAACTTGTACAATAATATCGTTTACTTTTTTGTTCTACTTCTAGCAGAAATTATTGTTATGTTTATGTAGCAAGTTAAAATTTTCATTTATTTGAGACTATATATGTGTTGTAATTTACATTGAAATATTATATTTGAATAATAGTAACATTCTAAATAAGATTAAAAAAATTGTACTTTTGTTGAAGATATATTCTATCAAAATTTAGAATGGGAAAATGAATAAGAAAATGGAAAAAAATTTTGTTTTATACATTTGTCAAATAACTTTATAGTGGAGAAATCCTCCATCGATTACATACTTTGCACTAGTAATGCATATAATTTGTAATTGGATATAAATACGGAAATAGGAGATCTTGTAGTTTTTGTAATAATTCATTAAAATTTTAAAATTAAACACTATCTACAGATATCAAGGCGTTGTTTTTTGATAATGATTTTAATCACAGTAACATATCATCTATACTGCACCCAATTATACACACTTTACCGGGACACTGCTGGTTTTTTTTTTAAATAGCGATTAGTTGAAATAGTAAAAGTAAACAATATAGCGTCAAATCAATTACTTACTCTATCGGTTGTATCTTATTATACACTACACTTACATACTTACATATGCATTTATAACATTTTGTCTAATGTAAGTATATCATGATAAAAAGTAACCGTAAAATGAAAAAAAATGGAAAATAAATTTTAATACTCATATTAAATGTAATGTAACTCGAAAAATATTTGTTTAAATAAAAAAATATAAGATACTTTTTTTGTTTAAAATTGTTTTTTAAATAACTTTTGTACGAAACTTTTTTTTGTAAGTTAAATATTTTTTGAAAAAAATAAAAAAGCTCATATTTTTGAACTTTTGCGAGGCTGTAAAAAATAAAGCTCAAGTCCAATCGATGAGGACTTTTAGTATGTCATTATACATATCTTAATTCAACTTTTTAAAAACAAAAATTTGGTTGGGAATTTTTTCCGCCAATCGCTAAAATTACTCCTTCATTGACTAACCTAATAATGAAAAATTAGAACTAATCCTAGGTATGGATGCTAATGCTCACCACACTGTTTGGGGGAGTAGGAAAGGCATAGGACAGGGTGTAGTTTGGTGAAATGTTAACTTGTATAAATTAAGAAAGAGTTCACGTATGCTCTTAAATAAAGCAATAAAATCAGGTTTGGAACAACACTGGGAATCCTTTAAGGACGCCCAAGGAACTATAAATCTTTATTGAAAAAGTGCAAAAGAGAAAGCTGGAAGAAGTTCTGTGGGGATATATATCAACTCCCTATAGCAACTAGACTTTTGCGATCATTTAGAAATGAACCAAACAAAACTGTCGAGGCAATACGACTGTCAAACGGAATGTTAACATTATCACATTTCATGAGCACACATTTTCCTGACTGTAATTAATAACAGAGAACAGTCACATAATACACAGGACAAACGTATAACATGTGCTGATTGGAAACTAACCAGGAAAGTGATAACCCCAAATGGAATAATAAGGCCAATAAAAGCTTTTGGCAGTTTTAAAGCTTCTGGCTGAATTTTCCCTGCACTTCTGCACCCTCTTTTAAACCATATGTATAAAATGCATACATATATATTTTATATGTATGCAGTAGATATATTCTTGGACATCGAACGGGCTTTTGAAAATACACCCTTCGATGATATGTGTGAATCAGCACAACAGCATGGAATAGAACCACTTATTACTAAGTGGACAGAATCTATGCTTAAAGAACGTTTCATTTTGGGACAGCTCAATGAGACCAAAGTAATCAAGAGTGTTCAACAGGGATGCCCACAAGGAGGAGTTCCTTGCTATGGTGTCTAGTATTCGACTTGCTTATTAAAGAGTTAATCAAATACTGTTATACACTGTTGACCTGCAGCAGAGCCTTGGGAAAGACATGGGGTTTTAAACCAAGAGTTAGTGGGTATAAGGATACAAGGGTGTCACTGGAAATAAAAATGCTGACTTTCTAGCCAGGAAAGGAGCACATATGTTGGAGCAGAACAAGTGGTAGGACTCACTGAGTAATCGTTTAAAGCACTACCCAAGAATTGGCGAAGAGAACAACACAGGAAAATCTGGAAGTACTTAGTTATACGGTTATACTAAAAAATATTTGGGAATAAATAATGTTTTTTGTTAACAAAAATATCTGTTTAAAAAGTAAAAATTGCGTTTTATCATAAAATTATACTTACCTAACACGACCCGCAATAGTGCACTTTTCATCTACGGTGAATTTATCCGGTCATGATCATCAGCTGTCCATCGCCGCACTTGTCTGTATTGAGATGTTAATCTTGTTCGGCAGTCGATAGATGTGACAGGTCACGGAATTAATACCGCAAGAAACATTGGAGACTGTGTTAACTATTTCAACTGACAGTTACATCCACCGCACGCACTGCCATTTTGTTTTGAGGTTTTTGTATTATAATATTTTTGCTAAAGTCTAGATCAAATGAGAATTAACCTAGTAAGGATTATAAACGGTTAAAATCATTAATAGTTGTATAATAATATTTCATTGTAATTGCTATTGTTATTTTATTCATATATTTGTTTAATTATTTAAGTGACTAACACTAGAGTATTATTAAAAATAATTGCATGGACTGATAGCAATAACAGATTTACTAAATTTTAGTCCACAATAAAATCCTGATTTATTAATTTTATTTAGTTTTACCTATTGAAAATAACCATCAAATAGACGTAACTCGGTGACTTCCAATCCGAATAGTTGACTCAAATAATAATAGCAAAAATATTATAAATATCCCTGCTAAGCTGTTTACTAAATATAAGAACCAAGTAAATATCAATTTGACATATTATGAAAATGTATATTTACAGTTATTTTTTATTGTGTTTTATTAAAATTCACTTTATATAGTTTTGTATATTAGAGTCTTCTAAACTTAATTAAATAGACATTTTTAAAAAAGTAAATACCAATATTTTTCACAATTTATGCATAAATAATAACATAATTTATATATTTTCGTCATAAAATATCTAAAAAGTCTATAATGGTACTGTTTAAAAAAATTCACTTATATTTCTATTATTTGTTTTTTTTATTTTTGGTTTTTAATAATTTATTTACTTCAAATCCTATAAAAATGCAAAAATGTAATGGAAAATTATTAAAATATATTCAAAGATAAAAGTCAGTGAATTACATTAATTAAATCTTAATATTCTTGAAAAATGATTTACAAAACGTATTCTTTTGTTTTAATTTTTGTGTGTTGTTTTTATTTAAAAGATGTTTTTGCAAATATATTTATAAAGGACAATGTAATTTATATAAAGTTTATTAAACTATGTTTGATTCAATAATTTAGTTAAAATACTTTTTATTTAACTTTTATGTATTGTATATTCAAATACGTTTTTTTTTTAGACAGGAACACTAATTTGTCATATGACGGATGATGTAAGTTTGATCATTGCTAAAATTAGCGTCCATACATTTTATGAATTAAACTTTACTTTTTAATTAAAATCAATATTATTTATATTCAATGATTATATAATAGCTTGTACAGACTTTAATTGTGTTTATATAGTATTATAGTATATTGATAACACATAGATTATATTCCATTTTGCAATTTTTAATAAAAACATCTTGTCACAATTTTCTTTTTTTTTTAGAGTTCCAAACAATTTGGGAATCTGAATATGGTAAGAAATTATTTTATGTAAATATTGTAGTATGTTTTAATAGTGGGCCAATACGGGATAATGATGTGAGGGCAATCTCTCCAAAGACTTCCCAGCAAGAATGAAGGTCGGGACTTAAACCCAACCAACAGATGCGATGACCTACAGATCGTGGCCTATCCCTACTTCCACGTGGTCCAACTTGGTCAACGGACCCACCGCTTGGGTACGTCTAACGGGGGAGGCAGCGCCGCGTTGTGATTTGGCTCTAGATTAATTTCGGGTCGTATCACAACGCGGTGTTGAGAATATTTTACAGTAGAACCGTTGTTTTACAGTTCGTTTGGTCTCTTTCCATCCTGGGTGACATGCTAAGGGGTCGTCGTGGTAATACCATATTAGGTGTTGTAATTTTTTATTTGGTACGACGATCGGCGTGTCCGCTCCCATGCGATTACGCAAAAGTCCATTTAATAAAAAAATTCTGTTTATTTTTGGCGCACTTTTGCTCATTCGTAGTGGTGGCATGTGTGTTTAAATTTCTGTCATAAAAAAAAAAGAATAGGTACACCTATTTTATAGGTGTTAAATACAAATTAAACATTTACGTTGAACGCAAGCTATTACGATCTGAATGGTGAGTAAGTAGCTATTAATAATATTTCCCTTTTTTTATTATCTGTTATTTCCTCAACAAAAGTTATTCTTGATTTACCTTATGTCTATTTTTAATTTTTATGACATGCTTATTAATATAATTTCTTACCTTGTGTCCAGCTAGCTTGATCGTTTATTGCGTAAAAAAAGTATATATATATAAAGAGAGCACTGACTTTTATCTACTTATTTATTTTGTGAAATTATGCAAATATTTAACTTGAAATATTACTTCACTGTAGTTCCTTTCTATATCTGGTGTCTGAATATATGTGTTACTTTATATTTTAAAATGAAAATTTGTATAACCAGATAGAATATGAGAATCAATCCCGAGTGACACGTCACAAACTATTGTTTTACCAATAATTTCAACCGCTTGATGTGCTAGGGTAATGATTTCAACAAACCATCAGCATCTTGTGCAATCAATCAAACACTTATCTATCTAAATTTAAGACACACTCAACGATCTCCTTAGTGACATGCATAAACCATTGTTTTATCAACAGTTTCAACCACTTGATGTGCTAAGGTAGATTTTTGAAATGCACTTATTAAATAGACAATCCAATTGAAGAATTAAAAAATTTTTAATTGAAACAACTCACAAAATACAAAATAAAAAAATTAATTGTCTTAATAATTTATAAATATTTTAAACTAAAAATAAATAGATAAAAAGGTTAAGTTATTTTTTTTTTTAATTACATTACTTATGAGCGATTTAGATAATAAACACCAAGTGTAAAAAGATTCTAAGTCAGAGAGAGCATAATCACGAAATATTCTGGTTCAGAGATGCTTCATGACCAAATTTTTAGAAAAAATAAGGTGATAAATTAGCTAGAAATTGCTCTTTTATAGGCCTGTTTTATGAGGGGGAGACTTAATGTTTTATTTTTTAATTGCACAATGCTTCTCATTGGCTAGTCAAGTAAACTTGAAGAGACCTATGCGCAATCTATTATAATACTAATTTGATTTACAATATATTGTGAATTGCCTAATGTGGGTAACTGGTTCATAATTTGAATATACTCGGTAGAATTTAAAAGTAAGTTAATCGGTATAGGAATATTTGTCCAAGATCATACATAAACACAATTGTTACGGTGGTAGTGCACTCTTTATATACAAACATTATAATAATAAATGACCGATTTGAACGCGTTGTTTCTCCTCGTGACGGTCATTTGGATACGCCAAAATTGAATACTCTTAAGTTGTACTAAATATAGATTTTAATTTTGCGATAACATCTTGCTGTTCAAAGGAATCTATTAGTGGTCGAGATTCCTAATAGGATTTAAGAAGTGAGTGAACCCAACACATGATGCGATTACCATGTTTACAATCAAAAATGATATTTTCCCCATATCCTTTTAAATTCTTTTTGACTGATAGGATATTTTATAAGTATTTAAAAAATGTAGTTTTATATTTTAATATAAATAGATACTGATATAATTGATAGTATTATTGTAATAATGTAACAAACTTTAAATTTTGATATTATAACAATATTTTTATAAAAATAATCTATAATTCTAAAATTAAATATATTTTAAAATAAATATATGAGGCGATTCAATATAGTTTTTGCCGCTGACAATATGCTTTTGTTAGATATAATTAAATCATTTTAAAGCTGTATAAGGTATAAGAATGAATTAAAAAACTACTTCATAATTGAGAAATTAAGAAAAATATGTATGAAAATAAAAATACCAAAATTAATTTTTTAACATAGTTATTATTTTAAAAGTAATTGAGTGACCAATATTTGAAGGAATTACTCTGTAAACATTCTTTTCTTTACAAGTCATAAGAATCATTAAAACCCATTTGTGAGATTTATGATTTTTTTTTATAAAACTTTTATAAATATTTAATACTGTTTATATAAAGTTCCCGCTTTTACTTCCCTAGAATTTAATTCAGACTTAATATTTAGATTTTTGGATATCATTTCAGAGTTTTGTAAATGTGAAAAAAGTTGTTGCACAAATTTATTTGCGTCAGGTAAGTGTCGTGATCATAAATGTGCTCAATAATAGAGTGTAGTTATATTTTTTCTTATTTGTAATCTTTCTATTGACAAAGTTTTGAGCTCGCACCTTATTATAACAGTAATAATAATAATAAGTAAAATACTCTAAATATTTATTGTATGTAATTTTAGTAAAAATATAAAAAGTGCTTACATTTTATTATTTTTTAGGAGAATTATAATAGCAGTCAAAAAAATGAAAAAAAATTAGAGCTTAAAATTGTATGTTACTTTTATTATAAGTGTGTATATTTATGCACATGATTTTTTATATATATATATAAAGCACGTAATCGTTACAAAATATCTACAGAGTAATTTTTTTATAATTAGCCACTTAATTATTCAAAAAATAAATATAATATTGAGAATTTGATTTTTGATTTCTTTTAGTTCTATGCTTTAGTCACTTTATTAGGGTGTCAACTTTATTCGTTCATAATTTATTTTAATTTATTGAAATTTGTATACCTTTGGAGAGAGGAGGGGTGCCTTTATCATCAGTCATAACTTTAATGATAAGGGATGAACATGAAAAATACTTTACGGTTATAAATTGTCTAAAACATGGAACTAAAAGAAATCACAAGTAAAAGTCTCAATATTATACATGAATAATATTATATAATTTTATGAATTTATTGTTGTTTAATAAATTAAGTGGTCAATAATAAATGAATCACACTATGTAATATATTTATTTTTTAAATAACTTTAGGACATATAGTTACTTAATTATACAAAACCACTAGTGTTATTCCATCAGTACAGAAAAACATTATCAACTCAGTCATGTGTCAATATTAGTCCAGTGCATATATTACAATTTTTCAAATAAAATAAATGACTCAACATTTTAAAGTGAAACACTATGTTTGAGAGTTAATGTATCGTAACTTGTCAACAGTAAATAACTCATATCATTTTCATTACACCATTAAGATGTATCTTTTAACGTCCATTGAGTAGTTGTATGGGCTAGCCCTTCCAAGGGGGGAGCATGTTGCGACGAGTTACGTGTAGCTTCGTTTAACTTCCAACCCATGAAAAGAAACCAGTTTTACACATATAATTGGGGAAGTCGTTCGCTGACCGGTGATAGTCGTCAGCTTATTAATAATACGTAAAAAACGTAATGACTAACAAAGATAAAAGATTCTTAGAAAGAATATCATTGGGCTAAAATTGATAGTTTGTATATAACAGATGTGAAACGTGTGTCAAAGATGCATATCAATACTCCTAAGTTAATTTTCAAAGTCATAAATAAAAAAACCATAACACAGATTGATAAGCATATAGTGACTATCTTAATTGGCAACAAATATGTATTGCATATCAATATTTTTTATTAATGATATCGGGTCCAGTGATATTAACGGTCAAAATAGATAATTCAGGGTTAACGCAATACTGAACTAACTATAACTGGACTGTGTTAAATTTAATTCGAAATCAAAAATATCGATCTCTATAATTTATAAAAAATCCAGGTATATTATTGAACTAAAAAAGTTATCATGAATGTTTTTCATGACATATTTTTAATAATCACTGTAAATAATTTCACAAATAAGTGAGGAAGTCCGTTAGTATTGTAGTTAGGTAAGGGTGAGTGTTGTTAATTTGGACAAAGATAAAGTTGCGCGTGCAGCCCAATTGCACACTATTAACCAACCGGTTACTTGGCCGATCGTAAAGATGGTATTATTGTCAACGTCATGATTCCCTAAACACATACGCCTTTTTTTCCTCTTTTAATTGTTAGGTTCCTTTTATTGTTTATTATGATAGAATGGTATCTTTATTTATTTCATAATTGATTTAGTTGTAATTTGAATTTTTATTTTTTAATCATTCTTTCCTTACTCAACTGTTATTGTATTTAAATAATAATTTCTTTTTATAAGTCATGTCGTTATTGTTTTAGTTGTGTGTTCTGTTTTGTAGATGTAATACTTTATGTTACCTTAATTTAATATCGTTGTTTGTAACTATTTAATTTATGATATTCATAACTGACCGTGAAGACTTGTCCAAAACTCATTGTCATTACACTATTGAGATGTATCTTCTAAGGTCCATTAAGTAAACAACTGTAGCCTTTCCAAGGTGGGAGTGTGTTGCAGCGAGTTACGTGTAGCTTCGTTTAACTTCCATCCCAAGAAAAGAAACCAGTTTTACACATATAATTGGGGAAGTCGTTCGCTGACCGGTGATAGTCGTCAGCTTATCTACCAGTTGTAACCAGTGTTTGGTCTAGTTAAATAGACAAATCGGTGCCACCAATATTGTCCCGGCCCTTTGCGGTATTATGACGGTATATGTGAATACGGTGGATTTACCCTGCGTGTAAATGATTGTATAATTGAGTCCAAGTTGACTCCGTCAAACGGTTGAAGGTAGTTGAATAACTAATAAAGTTATAGGATTTTCTTTTATTCATTCCCTTAGTTAGTCAGGCCAACCGAGATTTAGCAGCCTGTAAGCGAACATATACTTAAGCAAATATTATCTTAATAAGACTGCTGAGGTTGGTTCATTAGGACCTTTTGAAAACAAACAGAGAACTAAATATTTTAATTTGAAAATCATTTATTTTATTTCCAAAAGTTTTCTTCAAATGACGGAGGTTATATAAAAATAAGATTCAATTATGCTTTTGGGCTTTTTATATGATATAAAATCTTCTTTTTTTTAGCTTCGATGCGAAGCTGAGAAGGTATTAATATTACTATGATGTGTTTTTTTTTTTGTGTGCCTGTTACCACTTTTTCTCAGCTCTCACTGAACCGATTTCTTTCAATGATACCTCAAAAGATCACAAATCGTATCTAATTGAAGACATTAACCTCAAAAATTGAAAAAATTTCCTTCGTTCCCCGTAAATGGGGGAAACCTCCAAAAAATTACAAATTTAAAAATCGCTAATTTTCGAAATTTTCGAATTTTTTTTACTTATAACTGCTATAATTTTTTTAAAAATGAAAAAATCAACATAATATTTTTTTTTATAGATGCTTGATGTCTTTACCTATCATTTAGTATATTTTTTTTATAAATTTAACCCTTTACCAGTCCACAGGGGGGATTCAAAGTGACAACTTTTCCACATAAAATTAACTTATTCAACTTAACTTTTGAAAGTGTTCCGGAAATACTGACATTTATATATATATCTTAAATTAAAGCTTATGTAATATACTTTAATATTAAAAAAAAAAATGTTGGGCTTTATTTTGTCTTTATGGTGAAAATGGCTATCAAATGCTATTTTTGTGTGAAAATTCTCGATTTTATTTTTAAAATTTTTAACTTTATAATGCTATAACTTATTGAAAAATATATGGATCAATACAATTTTTTATGAGAAATAATATTTTTTAATAATCCCATTTTCATCCGACATATTTTATCTTAATTAGGATATTAATAAGAAACTAGTAGATCATGTAGCTTTTGGAATAATCCACAAATTTTTTAAAGTTAAACACTATCTAAAGATTTGCATCGAAACGTTTTTTTTTTAAAGTGATTTTAATCACTGTCAGATATCATTATACTTGACCCAACTATGCCACGTTACCGACCGTCCTGTACTGGGTTTTTTTAATAACTGTTATTTATATTTTAAGACGTTCGAAGAAGATAACATAATTTTAAATCACAAAGAAGACAATGCAATTTGCTTATACAATGGTATGTATAAATTATGTTGAATAAAATCGGTATGTTACTTGTTAAAAAATACTACTGTATTATTAAAACATAACAGAAATTCCTTGTAACATCTTTGAGAAAATTAATACATTATGAAATCATTGTATTTACAGAAAATGGTAATAAAAGATTGAAGAAATTTATTCAAGATTTGGGTTACGACATTGAATTTAAAGTAGTTGAAAAAATTGTGAGTTTTATAGTAAATAGTTAAATAACGTCGATTTTAGTATGATACGGGGTTTAAGACAGTAGTAAGCAATTTTTAAATATTCAAGCAATACAATAATGTCATATATAAGCGAAATGCAGGGTAAGCAAATTAATAATGGTAGTAAAAAGAATATAAATGAAAAACATGAAAAGGATGATCAGACGGGACGAGACTGGACGTTTTGTCGAAGAAACGTCCAGTTACGGGTTAGGTCGTTGGTGAGCGAGTGACTTTGTTTTTGTACGACTTAATTAATTGTGTGTTATATTTTTATATTATATCTTAACTTTGTGTTTTTACGTTATATAAATAAAATAATTATTTAAAAACCTGTACTCGAAAGTAAATACTCTACAACCGTCGTGTTATTAAAATGTGTGTGTGTCAAGAGTCTAGGTTGTACTACTGGTCCTTTAATCAATCATAACAATTAGTGTACGTGCTGGCTAGTTTTAAACCTGTGGTGTATACTCTCTTTACAAATTTCGTTGTAATCAGTTGTTGACCGGGTTGTGTTGTGTGTTTATATATTAAAATGTTATTCTCGTAAGAAGATTTGCATTTATTTATTTTAATTTAAGAATAAAAGAATCTACAACATGGTGTCAGGTGTGAATTAAATAATTTAGTGTTAAATAATTAATATGTTATAAATTATTGACGTAGTCTTAAACGGTTAATTACATGCTAAAATGTATCTAATTTAAATAATTGTTTTGTTTTTAAAAAAAAAACTTGAAAGTGTATTCGATTAAGAAATAAATGAGTGTAAAATTCCAAAAAATTTAAGCTTTGATGGGAACTTGGCGGTAAATTGAAAAAAATTTTACCAACAATTTGAAATATTCCTCTTAGCATCAGGCAGTTTTAAAAAACCAGATGAGATAAAAATAGCTATTTTGTTAAATGTTTCTGGCGAGAATTTACTTGACATTTACAATACATTCACCTTTGACCGGCGAACAAAGAGAACGTATGATAACGTAATAACTTTGTTTAAAAATCATTTCGAACCAAAATAAAAACATTATATTCGAACGATTTAAATTTTTATCTTGTAACCAAGTTCAGTCCATTGGGGAATGTCACAAAATTAAGAACATTGGCATCGATCTGGGAATTCAGTGAAACTGAAAACATGATTCGAGACAAATTAATTATTGGTATAAATCAGCTGGAAATAAAAGAAAAGCTATTACACGAATCTGATGTGACATTAGATAAGGCGATTGATATTGCAAAAAAATTGGTAGCAACCAAAGAACAAATGAATGAAATGTTTAGTGCTACTAGAGAGTTAAACACGCACAATATAGTAAAAAAACACTCTGACTTCTCTAACAGAAAATGAACTACCAAGGGGTGTATAGAAGGTGTAAAAGTATACATAGATGACATATATATAGCTGCCGAAAATAAAAAAAAACACGATGAAACACTTAAAGAGGTTTTAGAAAAAGCTATAAAAGCAGGTATAACACTTAATGAAAAAAAAATACAGTTCAAACAATCACAGGTAAAAATGTTAGGCTTTATTGTAAGTAAGGCAGGTATTAAAATAGATCCTGATCGTTTAAATACTTAGTTAAGAGATTAAACTAGAGATTCCTAAAAATAAAAAACAAGTTATGCGATTTCTAGGTATAGTAAAATATTTCACAAAATTCGTACCAAACATTAGCAAGGTTAACGCACCATTAAGAGAGTTAACAAAATACAAAATAGAGTGGGAATGGTCAGATAAATAACAAAACTCATTTAATGAAATTAAAAAATTATTAACGTGTTCACCAATTCTTGCACACTTTGATGATAACAAATTAATCGAAGTACAAACTGATGCATCAAAAGATGGCGTACAAGCAGTTTTATTGCAAGAGGGTTCAGTTGTAGCTTATGCGTCTAAAAGTTTATCTGAAACACAAAAAAGGTACACTCAAATAGAAAAAGAGTTGCTGGTAATAATCTTTGCCTGTGAAAAATTCCATTATTTCATTTATGGTAGGCCCATCTTATTAAAGACGGATCATAAGCCCTTGGTGTCGATAATAAAAAAAGATCTAAACAAAGTTTCACCTAGACTACAAAGAATGCTTTTAAAAATTGTTGTGTACGATATACAATTAGAATATTTTCCCGGTTCAAAAATGTTTATTGCGGATGCGCTCAGTAGAGATTATCTTTATAATAATATTGGTAATAAAAATGTTATCGAGGACGTGTATCATAATATACACGACATAAAAACTGTTTGTCGATAAACACTGAAACTTTAAATAGATTAACAAAAGCTATAGATTTTGATAATGAGTATAGAATGATTGTAAAATGTGTAAATAATAATTGGCCCAACAATAATAGCATACGGGAGAGATTTCTAGTTTTTACAAAATAAGACAAAATTTGCCAGGCTATGGCAAAAAATAGGCACAGACATCTTAGAGTATAAATCAAAGTCATATCTAATGATAACTAATTATTTTTCAAAGTGGTTTGAGCTTAGAAAAATTAAAGATAAGTCTGCTTCACAGGTAATATAAACCTTTATAAACATTTTTTATATTCACGGTTGCTCGGATGAGATTGTTTCGGACAACATTCCATTTAACAGTCAAGAATTTAAACACTTTTGCTCTGAGTGGAACATTAAATCAATTTATAGTAGTCCCCATTATCCTAAAAGCAATGGACAGGGAGAAAAGACTGTGAGTACATGTATAAAAATCTTTAAAAAATCAGAGGAGAAAAAGAGCAATAGAGGGTTTGGAGCTATAACCAGCTCAATTGTTGATGTCTCGTAGATTGAAAGATAAGTTACCAGTAGTAAATAATTTATTAGAGCCGTTTAAGTTAGCTTAAGTCAAATAAAAAATGATTTTTTTAGCAGAAAATAAAAACAAAAAAGTTATCATGACAAAAATAGTAAAAATCTTAAAGAGATACAAGTTGGGGATAATGTGTTGTTTAAGACAGACTATAACATAAAAAAATTGGTTGGAGGGAAAGTAGTAGATTTAGCCAGTACTCCGAGGTCTTTTATTGTGGCGGGGGAAGATGGAGTGAGGTACCGTAGGATTAGAGAACATTTAATACTAAAACAGGGGGTAATATGGGGAAATAAAAACAATTTATCCTATAATGATAACAGTATTGAATCAAAAAATAATTATGAACCTCAGAAACGCAAACTTCGTCCTCGTCAGAAGCTATGTCTACCTATTCGGTATATTTATTATTTTAAATTAATATATGTTTAATTTTATGTGTCATGATATATTATTATATGTTTAATAATTACATGCCATAATGATTAACATTTAATATTTTATAAACAAATGTATTTATTTATATTTAAAAAAAAAATATTTTCGTTTTTATTGTATATACATTGAGGGGAGGATGTGGTGTACACTCTCTCTACTAATTTTGTTGTAATCAGTTGTTGACCGGCGTTCGACGTGACCGGGTTATGTTGTGTGTTTATATATTAAAATATTATTCTCGTAAGAAGATTTGCATTTATTTATTTTAATTTAAGAATAAAAGAATCTACAACAAAACCGTCCTTAATCGTCTTTTAGTAGATATAGTGAAAAGGTAGTTGTGCTGGTGGTTGATAAGGAGCCACCCCTCAATCTGCTACTTTTGAGCTAGATCGTATTGACGGGTCTAAACTCTACCCCTTGAGTAGTTCACTAATTGGAGGGATTGAATTTGACCAGAGTATCCAACGGGAGGACTCGATAAAGTTAAAAACGACGAACTCGTCGTCTTAAAACGTTATTTAATTTTGTGCATTATTTTTGTGTCTACGTCGGGGTACTACCGACGTACGATAGTTTATAATTATGTTTATTCAAATTTCCCTGGCTTTTGGTATATGGATCTATTTTCAAAATTCATATGTCATTTGATAGCTCATTATTAACTTATTCTAGCGCAAAAATAAAAATCCGTAATTGGCCGTTTAGTTTTTGAGATCAATGACAAAGTTTTCAGTTAAAATCGATCATATTTCTAAACCTATAAGATTCAAACTGTTGACTAACATCAATTAAAGCTCTAAGCAACGTGTGCAATAGTACTTCGAACATGATCTCGCATTCAATCCACTGCAAATAGGATAAAAGCTATTTTAAGTTTTTCGAAGCTTATTTATTTTGCTTAGCAAAGGTGTAGGCCTTATCAAACTAATATAGCCCTAATAGACAAAGCTTAAAATAACCAATAGATGGCGTTATCAAGAATTTCGTCGTTTTTGATCTCTACTGCGCATGCTCAGTAAACCCGTGTTACGCATGCACAGTAACTTAAAATAGCTTTTATCCTATTTGCAGTGGATGGAATGCGAGATCATGTTCGAAGTACTGTTGCATACGTTTTGTAGAGCTTTAATTGATGTTAATCAACTGTTTAAATCTTATAGGTTTAGCGATATGATCGATTTTAACTGAAAACTTTGAAGTAATTTATCTCAAAAACTAAACGGCCAATTACGGATTTTTATTTTTGCGATAGAATAAGTTAATAATGAGCTATCGAATGACATATGAGTTTCGAAAATTGAGCCACATACCAAAAGCCAGGGAATTGACCCTGAGTCCTTTTTAGGAGCAGACAGCGTATGAGGTCAATAGGACCCAGATAACAATTTTTTGAACACAATTCTTTTTGCAACTGAATGTCTCAATTAAAATTTTTCTGCCATAAATATTTTATGATTTACCTTATAAAATTTATTTTCAACACAATTAATGCTAATTCTTATGTAATTGTCGAGCTATAATATATTCATAATTAAAGCTAATAAAAAATAATAATAATAATAAATTTTCAATTTTAATTTATATTTTACAGAAGAAAAATAAACGTTTAATAAATGATGAAATATCAAAAAAAATTATATTTGATCGATTTTTAAAATATATGATCTTGCTATCTGTTTATGCCTATAAAATTATAATTATTCAACTTAATTCAAAATCATTTTGGGGACAGTTATTAGAAGTTTCTAAAAAAATAAAAAAAGTAATGTTTATATTGGATCGCAATAATGATATACATTTCTACATGGACCAATTGATAAATGCAAAGAGTAATAGTCTGATTGAATTAAAAGGATTGGCAGAAGAATGCGCAAAATATTTTATGGAAAATGGAGAATTGACAAAATATGATTTTCAATACGAATTTACAACTTCCGATCTTTACGATAATCCCATACTACCACAAGATTTAATAAATAAATTATTAAAAGGATTTCCCAAACATCAAAAAAATGAAAAGTCATACAATTTTCATGATGTACCAGAAAATCTAGATAAAATAAAGGAAAAGTTAGAAATAATTTTTAGTTTAATTCACGCAGAATATAACACAATTGTTTAATTAGATTTGTAACTATTCATAAGTTATTTGAAACGTGTATTATAAGATTTATAGTAATTTGTCAAACTAATTGACGTTATATTATATTTTACGAGAAATACCAATTATCAGTTTGTATTTTTAAGTTTCTATAATTACAGAACAATTGTATAAATATGTCGCACGCAATATCATTACAAAAAAAAACTTAACATTATTTATTTCTTTTAAGAAATTGTAGTGATCAGTGATTTATAAAATTACAAAAAAAAAAATTTAGTCCTACCACCCACTCAATATAATACTATATCATTATAATTTTTTAAAATGGAAAAATATGTGTTTAAAACCTTTAAATAAGTAAATTATCTTAGTTGATATAATATTAATGCGTAATGAAGTGGTATAAGACTGAATTATTTCAAAGAAATATAAGGTTGTAAGATTATACAGACTGTTTAATACTTAAGGAAACAAGTCAGTTGTTACAAAAATGAAAAGAATAGAAACACTTTACCTTATTTACTAATTTATATATAAATTACTTCCCTATATAACCTTCTGAAAAGAAACACTATAGTATGTTTTATATGTTTAATGATATTACATAACTTATAGTTAAACAAGCACCCTTTAAACTTCAACTACTATTTTTCATAAGTTACCATATAATTTTGAGATAATGTATTAAATATAATATATTTTAGCTTCGATGCGAAGCTGAGAAGGTATTAATATTACTATGATGTGTTTTTTTTGTGTGCCTGTTACCACTTTTTCTCAGCTCTCACCGAACCGCTTTCTTTCAATGATACGTGAAAAGATCACACATCATATCTAATCGAAGACATTACCCTCAAAAATTGAAAAAATTTCGGACTTTATTTTGTTTTCATGGTAAAACGGTCATAAAAGTTAATAAAAAAAAATACGATTTTTGTAAATAAATTCGTTTTTATATTTTTAAATTTATAATGCTATAACTTTTTAGATAATTATAATTTTTTTAAGATAAGTACATTTATCTTCTTCTTGCAACATACATTTTTTTTAAGTAGGGCCATTTCCCAATATATATATATATTTATAAATATACAGGGTGATTTAAATCTGGTAAGACACTCATTTTCTCAGAAAGTATTGAGAATTTTTAATTTTATTATAGGGAAAAAATATCAAGTTCAAAAAACTCTACAATAATATATAGTCAAACCATTATTTTTTTCTTCACCATTTTCTGTAAATACAATGATTTCATAATGTATTAATTTTCTCAAAGATGTTACAAGGAATTTCTGTTATGTTTTAATAATACAGTAGTATTTTTTAACAAGTAACATACCGATTTTATTCAACATAATTTATACATACCATTGTATAAGCAAATTGCATTGTCTTCTTTGTGATTTAAAATTATGTTATCTTCTTCGAACGTCTTAAAATATAAATAACAGTTATTAAAAAAACCCAGTACAGGACGGTCGGTAACGTGGCATAGTTGGGTCAAGTATAATGATATCTGACAGTGATTAAAATCACTTTAAAAAAAAAACGTTTCGATGCAAATCTTTAGATAGTGTTTAATTTTAAAAAATTAGTGGATTATTCAAAAAGCTACATGATCTGCTAGTTCCTTATTAATATCCTGATTAAGATAAAGTATGTCAAATCAAAAAGGGAATATTAAAAAATATTATTTCTCAAAAAAAAATTATGTTGATCCATACACTTTTCAATTAGTTATAGCATTACAATGTTAAAAATGTTAAAAATAAAATCGAGAATTTTCACATAATAATAGCATTTGGTAGCCATTTTCACCATGAAGATAAAATAAAGTCCGAAATTTAAATTAAACATGATCACAATGAAAGGATAATTTTGATTTTAAAGTATTACGTTGCGATTGTTTATTATAATCGTATCCTTTGAATTTATAATAATATAATACTAATGTTAAATTCTAAAAATGCGTTGACAAGTGAATGAATATCCCACAATAATTCTACCCAAAGTACTTATAAGCGCTGTTTAGTTAAATTTGTGTTTATTTTTATAGCCATTGAGTGCTATATTTAATATTATGCAATTTAATGATGAATAGGTTCAAAACTTATGTCAATAAATTAGTTTATATTAATAAATAATAAATAATATTAGTTTTTATGGTATAATTAATATGGTAGATAATTATTTAGTTTCGTACAGCTGCCTCAAAATACTATCGTATTATATTTTTAATGTCAATTGTCATTTAAACAATACAAACTTAAAAAAAAGATGCACCACACAAAATATGTAATACGCTAAAATAAAATATGCCAATAAATAAGATATTTTAGTATACATAAAAATAAATAAAATGTTTTAACGACATAACTAACTTATAAAGTAACGCCTATATGTGGATTATCAACTAAGTCTAGTCAATCGCATTTAACAATTAATTAAGATGTTTAACTTCCAAAATCACATTATGGATCAGTACACTTAATAGGCCTCTATTAATGTGACCTCTAATTGAATAAAAATAAATAAGATGTATTGAAATATTTGTTTCTTTTTTATGGGTTATTTTAATTTTGAGTTTTCTTTAGCCACTATATAAAACCATTAATGAGAGTTCAATCATTTCAATGAAATGAATTAAATTACTGTTGCATTTAGTACCGGCGTTGGATATTGCAGGATCGAATGCAAAATGCTATCATGAGGCTTTTTTTTTGTTTTAGTAAAAATAACCAAATTTTGCTTTTTATTTATGTTTATGAGACTCTTAAAGTGCGGTGTTCTAGTCAAGTGCATTGGAAAGTATTCCCTTCCATCAATCCTCGTTAGAATTTTTAAGTATTACTCTTATTGTGTATATTGTATAAGCTTAGGTATACCATAAAATAAGCGTCTCTTCAAGACAAAAAATATTTGAATTAAAACAATTAAAAAGAAGTACGTCAGAAGTAAACATTATTGCTAATATTAAATTCAAAAAATAATTTTGAATAATTAAATTTAACGTAAATTACTTGAAAGTATTTGTATTATTATTATTATTATTATTTTTTTTTTTTTATTATTGCTTTTATTAGTCTATTAAGGGCCATAGCGACCTCCCCCTAGGAGCAGGTTTTCTTAACCATTTATTCTCCGGAACGGGTGGTTAGTCCATCGCCGGAGAGTGGGATGGCGACTCCAATTACCGAGCTGATCTCTCGTTGGGCAAATGAAGCCGCCTGTGACCGAGTTTCGAACCCGAGGCAGTGCGCGTCAAGCACTGCCGCGTTACCGACTCGGCCACACCGTTCCTATTATATATGTATTCTTATTATTTATGTGAAAATAATATATTGAAATCCTAGTTCCCAGAGTGACACCTTCAATACTTTACATAAACGTTAACTTAATTAACTATATATAAATGACGGGTCGGGTGTTTTCTGCTACTCTTAATAGGCGATCAACGAGAAGACAATCTATTAAAGGTTGTTTATGGACAGTATTTTTACTATACATACATACATAAACTAATAGAGATTCAATATATTGATACATTAACAATAAAAATCATAAGGCATCAACCCGCAGCCATCAGTCAACCTCACTGTCATTTGATGTTGAATGATTGCCGAAAGCTTCCCAATCAATTCTCCTTTGAAGTATTGAATGTCAGCCTCCGCTGATCTCGATTTCCGTTGTACATTCGCGTAGTATCACGTAACGGATGAGAGTAACTGTTGGTTGTCGCCTAAACAGGCCGATACAAAATAACCAACAACAAATAAAAACACACTAGATACACAGGCCACAAGTCATCAGACTCAACGGTATGGCACCACTTCAAACACGTCCATATACGTACTGACTTAGGTACCGATAGTGTCGGACACGACTTCTTTAGGGTCAAGCGACGAGGGGGTGGGGTGATTATAAACTACGTGGAGCTTGACCGGGCTATACACGTAACTTTTGAACAATTTATTGTATTTATATCTAATTTAAAAAAAAAAAGTTAACATTTAACATACGGTTATACTAAAATAATATTTAGGAATAAATAATGTTTTTTGTTAACAAAAATATCTTCTGTAGAAAGTAAAAATTGCGCTTTATCATAAAATTCTACCTACCTAACACGACCCGTAACAGCGCACTTTTCATCTACGCTGAATTTATACGATCGTGATTATCAGTAGTCCATCGCCGCACTTGTCTGTATTAAGATGTTAGTCTTTTCCGGCAGTCGATAGATGTGACAAGTCAGGGGGTTAATACCGCAGGAAACGTTGGAGACTGTGTAAACTGAGTTCAACTGAGTGTTATATCAATCGCACGAGCTGCGGTTACGTTTTGAGGTTTTTTTATTATAATATTTTTGCTCACACCAGTATTTTGTTGTTTTATTGTAAATTCATTGTTAGTTATAAGAATACATTTAACTTTTATTTAAATATTAAAGGAAAGACGATGTTGTTTTAATATTATCATTAAGCACCCCTAATATAGTGTCATACATAACCGGTTCGAAATAATATTATAGTTTATTTACTCGAAATAAAAACGTTTTAGATGTGAAACATTTTTATTCTTTTTAGGTGCAAACGTAGGAAATGATCCACCCAAAATCTGTTTCAGTACCTACAATAATTATGAAAATTGTATAAATACATTTTTATATAGAAATATTTTTTAGTAAAGGGAAAAAATAATTTAGACCATTCAAAATTTGCACCGAAATGCAATTCAAATTTTCATTGACATTTCTTAGTACAAAATTTCGCAGTAGATTTCATATTAATAAATATATCTAATGTATATTTCAAATCCTTCCTGTACTTAAGTTTTCTATCGTATTTTCACAATAAACATACCAAAGAAAATTTATGTCTCAAGTATGCCCTCCTAAATATTCATTAGAATCTCAGGTATGAGATATGATAGTGATAAGTGATATTCATGTAATCAGAAATTACATGTATTATTCTTTTATGGAAGTACCTTCGTTTCTGTACCGTGTTTGATGTGTACGTCATGGTTCTTTTGAATTGAAGTGTTTATAGTTGTTAGTCTACTACTATAACATTCAATGTAATAAGTACACTAAAGTGTTTTTGATATGGAATTTATCTTTGATAAAGTTAAGCATAAATCGTACACAGTCCTATAGATTGTAGACTTGCATGAAAAATCACAGATCAAATGAGAATTAACCTATTGAGGATTATAAACGGTTAAAATCATTAATGGATGTATAATATTCATTAGTATAATAATATTTTGTTG